TAATTGCAACAATTATGATTATGAGGTATACACAATTTATGTAGGATCTAAAATTCGTAAAACGTAAAGTTGGGTCTTGCATCATGGTGAATGTTCATGCTGTTAGGACTGCAAAAATATCGAGTTAAAAGCCGTTGTTTTGAAAGAACCTGATTGCGTGATGATATGGATGAACTGATTTGATGCAGAAAAATTCTGTAACGTCAGATTCCTAAATGCAGCGATAGGAGCGTGTTGATAACGTGTTGTGGTCTATTTTATCTAACAAAATTTAGGGTGGCTGGCGACAAGGAGAAGAGAGAAAAGAGAGATGTGTTTGTAGAATTGTAGGGGAATGAGTGTTGTTATCCCTCCTACATTGTGCTTTTCTTTATAATAGTAGAAGGAGAGAAGATATTCCTTCTTCCCCAAGTAATACAAGTTGTAATAGGAAAGGATAACTAGAATCAAATTTAATCTAGGATTTACACAATCACACTTAAACTAGAAATGTTTACAACAAACCAATATTTTTGTTCAATACCCAAATAAAAAATTCACCAAAATCCCCATCACACACCTTCCTAGTGCAATCACCATAGCAACCTTGCTATGCATATAACAAAGCTTCATACATGTTCAACCAAACTAAGGCTTTTCAAACCTATTTAACCAAAAACACTTTAGAGTTGAAGAATAAAAATGGAGGCAGATATTGAATGCAGATAAATCCCTATGTCGGTGAGGGGGGCTGGGTTTGGAGAGAAAGAGAGAGAGAGAGGCAAAGAAAGGAGATATAAATAGGAGAGAGTAAGTACTGGTTTGGTATTGAGATGCTTTTATAAAAAGTGGGTGTCAAAAAAAGTTGAGCTCAAAAATGTGTTTGGTAAACACTTAAAAACAGCTTATTTTCACAGTTTTGGGTGAAAAAGCTGAAAACATGAAGTGGCAAAAATGAACTTTGAAAAAAAAACTAAAAACGTGAAGCAGCATAAATGTTGGATTATAATTTCTTGTTAAACGTTGGATTATGATTTATTGTTAAATGTTGGATTATATGTTTAAGATAAAGTTTATAAATATTTTTCTTTTAAAAATAAACTATATTTAGTAATTCACCTTTATTTGTTAAGAAAATTAAATTAATGGCACATCTAGTATTATATCATTTTTGGTCATTTCACACAGTCACAGCTATTTTACATAAAAGCTTACCAAACACTATAATATTGTTTTTTTTCTTTTCCAAAAGTATTTTTACAAAAAAGTTTACCAAACACTCGGCTGCTTATTCTCACATCACAGTAGAAGCAGTTTTTTTTTTTTCAAAACAAAGAAATACCAAACCAGCCCTAAGAGAGATAAACAGAAGGGAGACATGATAGAAAATCGGGAGAGAAGGGAGTATATAAGGACAAGAGAGGGGAAGAGATAAGGAAATGAATAAAGTGAAGATAGAATGGTACAATAGTTATTTTCTAACTAACCTAAACGCATGTGGAATGCTTCATTGACCTATGCATAATTATTATAAATATTTCATTGACTGTCTCCAAAAAAAAAAATATTGACCATTAATAGATGATTAATTAGTAAACATTTTATTGACTAAATAACCTTTTATTAGTTTTATGTTATTTAAATTGTTAGAATATATAATATATTTTGAAAATTGAGGATGGGCACGTAATATAGAAGGTTGATAAAAAAATAATCAACAATCTTTTAGTCTAGTGATTAGGGATGCAAATATCCGCGGATATGGGTAATTATGGTTACCTACCCATTGAAATCTCACGGTTACGGTTATGGGTAACCGTTTAGATAAATAAACGGTTATGGGTATAACAATTTACCCGTGAAATTTAAATGAGTGGTTATGAATATTAACTGCAGTTATAAACGGGTAACCACTTACCTATTTATTTTATATATGTAAAATTAACACAAACCATGTTCTCTATCAAACAAAACTTAAATCAATGCTATTGACTATAGTGCATTGTTTATATAGCTAATTATATATATTATGTTAATACTTTACATTATAGGTTAAATAACTCAAGAATATTGTCTTCTAAATAGTTTTCCTAACAAAAAAATACTTAAAAAAAATATTATACCACCTTCATTGGTAACATGGATTAGTAGTAAAAGTTTTCCCAAAAGATTAGGAAAATAAATAACAATTCCCCTCAGCCCCACTCACTTAATTCAACCCAAGACATGTTCCTCAAACATGTTGCGACTCGCCATTTTAGCTAATCCCTCACTTTTGTTAGCATTGTTACTGTAATTTATATATCATATATTCTAATTTTGTTTTTTAAAACTAATTTTCTTTCTTTTTCATTCTATATCAATTAAAAATATCGTTCGTAAATTATTATTTCAATTATTGGAATAGTATAACGACTTAAAAAATTAAAATACGGAAATGTATGATGAATGTACCTATAACGGTGTTTAAAAAACATTATGGCAATTTTTTTTTTAATTTTCAAGTTGTTAAAAAACATGTAGACGGGTGAAAAAGGGGTAATGGTAAAAAAAAAAAAAAAGATAAACGGGTTAAAAAGGGTAAATGGGTAAACGAGTATTTAAACTGTTACAGTTAAATGGGTTTGCGGTTATGGGTATGGTTAACCGTTTATAAACGGTTATGGGTATAGGTATAACCGTTTAGGTAATTACCCAAGGGGTAAACGGTTATGCGGGTATGAGCAAAAATGGTTATGGATATATAACCGCGGTCGCCCGCCCGCCATAACTGATGCCCATCCCCTAGAGGAGTAGTGATACTTCCATGATTATTGGAAGATGTCGTAAATTCGAGCCACCATTTCTAATTTGCCAAAAAAAAAAAAAATGGTTATAGCAAGTTGACCTTTATCACATTGGTGAAAATGTGTTGAGTCTTTGTATGAGAGCGTGAGTTCAAACTTCGTCGATGACTAATCTAAAATCTAATTTAACAAAATTATCTTTTGAAAAAAAGAAGAAGTTATATAAGCCTTATAGTTCATTCCAGTGTAGTGTGTTAAAAGTTAAAACAAATCTACTAACATCTGATATCGGTATTGCCTAAAACAAAGGTTTTCGACAATATTAAGGAGAATCTTAATACTAAGTTGCAATGTGAAAGGTTGGGCAAAGCAGTTTTTATTACAGGAGGTAAGGAAGTGCTATTAATAATGTTCTAAAAATTCCCACCTAGCGCCACCTAGGTCTTGTCTAGACGTTAGGCGGCTGGCCACTGCTACGATTAATCTCTATCGTTTTTAAAAATAAGAAAGGGCGCCTAGATCTGCCTAGACCCGCCTAGGTCATGACTCTCACTTATACAAAAAATAGATTACTTCCATTTTATATTTTATTTTCTCAATAAATTTAAAAGAGACTTATTAGATACTTAGATGAACACTCATTCTATTTTTATCCCCATGTTTTTAATATGTTAGTACTTTATAATTTATGTAAGATTCTCAAAGGCATTAAGCTCTAGTCAGGCGAGGCCTTGGCAGATTTGAGTAAACTTATTATATCGTGTAAATAAGTGTCTGTTTATACTTAAAAAATACATAATGAATTGGGATACATAAATTGAAAAATAGAATGACATATATATTAAAAAATATTAAAACATATGGAAAACATGGGGAACCAGAATATTATGATTGTTCATCCAAGTATTCAACAAATCTCTTACAATTTATTAAAAAAATAAAATGCAAAATAAAAGTTAGCTATTTTCTATTTAAGTGAAAGTCGTGACCTAAGTGGGTGCCTAGCAAGCACCTAGATGGGATAGGCAGGCGCCTAAGCAAGTTTAGACGTCATTTCTTAATTTCAAATGCTTAAGAATTAATCGAGACGGTGACCAGCTACATAGCGCTAAAGTGGAGATTTTTAGAACAGTAAATTTATGTGTCATTCTATTTTGCAATTTATGTATCTCAATACAATTATGTATTTTTTTAAGCATAATTAGACATTTATTCATGTTATATAATAGATTTAATTTAAAAAAAAAAAAAGAATCGCCTATGCTCTAGGTCAGTGCCCGCCACTCGACTAGCGCTTAGTGACTTTTAGAACTTTGGCTATTAAAAGTGGTGGGATTGCTAAGTCAACTCATATATCCCAACTCGATGAGAGGAATACACGCTTGTTTGATACACAAGATTGATTGAAATGAAGAACTCTCAAATTTCAAAGTACATTGAAGGTGGAAGTGAACGATTTTATACATGGAGGGGATTAAAAGAAGATTAGCTAAGAAGAAAATTTATCCCTTCTTTTTTATTTTGGTCGAAAAAACAGACTTAGAAAATTCATCTCTTCTAATCCTACTATTAGAGAATTAAAACAGATAAGTTTTTTTTCATGAGTAATTCATCTTTTATATTCTAGGTGGTCAATTTTATAACTTCTCCCTTCCACATACTTTTAATTTAGTAAGTTATTCATTTCAATCCAATTTTGTATACCAAATGAGCCATCACAATCTCAAACACAAAAGGCGAGCACGAAAGGAGAGAAAATCTATAAGCAAACGCAATTAGAATTAGGGAGTTTTAACGAAAAGTCCGCGGTACTATTCACTTTAACGAAAAACCACATTTTTACACTAAAAAGTTACATGTACTATTCACTTTACCTTTTATTTTGTCCTTATCGTTAAAACTCAAAGTTTCAAGTTATTTTCATTAGTTTTCCTTTAAAATTAACGATTACGTGTGTTATATCTATTCCGACGCGCAAATAGAAGAAGCTCTCCAACATTCACTTCCATGTTTTGTTCCTTTAATTAAAACGTATTTTTAATTTGGACGTAATAATCCACAAAATACATGAAGAAATGAAAAAAAAAAGGTCTAAATAGCATAATTGAACTTGAAAACTATACAATGGATTGTCGTGGTGATTAGTATTCATTTTCAACCCACTACGTTCCAAGTTCAAACTTTACCCTCTCAGCTTAGTGTATTTTAGTGTCAAATATCGTTGAGCGTTATTAAACTTGAAAACACATGTTATTTCAAATTGAAAGGATTTGGGAATAAAATGGAAGATGCATACAAGTTGATTAAGAATAGAAATACAATACACAAGTACAACAACATTGGAGAAATACTTGGTCAGAATAAAAATAAAGATCCCAAAACCCCACACCAAAGTGTAAAACAAATAAATGCCAGGGGACGATCAGAACCGCATTTGGATTTTCTCTATCTAGGGTTTCTGCCCCCTGACAAGGAGCGTTCCCTGCGCCTCCTGTATGAGTCCGAGTGTTCATCCGCCCTCCTACCATATGGAGAGCGTGATCTTCCTCGGCGGTCCCTGGGATAAGGATCTCTGTCTTGCAACCTACGAGGTGAATAGCTTCGAGATCGTCTACGGTCACAATCACGATCACGATCACGTCCTGCATCTTTATAAACCATGTTCACATGAGATATGAATACTGCGTCTGGATCCTACATCAAAACTAGTATCTTCCCATCTCAAAGGAAGTTGGCACTGTAGACTTGTGATAAATGGGACATGACGAAAAGGGTGAGGTGATATTTTTTTCATACCTCGTCTGCATTTTCAGGGATTAAAAGCGTGAGGTCAAAGAGGAAACATTTTTAGTGACAATTAAATCAAGTTGCGCTGAAGATTGAAGGAAATTTCAAGAGCACCACATTCCTCCATCAGTACCGCTCAAACAAAGCATTATACTAGACTCTAATCCAAAAATTAGGTACGGTGAACTCGATTGTACACCCGAAATGTAGATCGTTCAGATCTACAGGGCCACGCACAAAATAATACAGTAGACCTTCTGTGGTAGTGTGTGTAAATGGTTACGGGGAGAGGAGTGACAAAAGCTCTTATGTGAGGGTTCCAACCCATGTCAAGGCCAGCAACACTGTACAATTGCTAAAAAAATTATAATACCGATCCATGTCTGTACCTCGTTTATCTCTCAAACCTTGATACCTTCCTGGAGTTGGAGTCCTCCCTCGTTTCCTTTTTGCCTGCATATTTACACAAAATGCAAAATGACGTCATGGAAGATAAGTAAGCGAATAGATTAATCGAAGTGACAAAAAAAGGGCAGATAAACAAGTCAACAATCTACTCAAAACAGTCCATATGCGGCTGCTTGCAACTATTTCAAACTACGTGAAGCTAACTGGCCATCGTGATGATTATGATCCACACAATTGGAAGGTCCACAGCAGTCCGTTATCGTATTTTTAAAGTCACCTTCCTAACCGTATACCAAGCCAATGGCATGCCTCGCTAACCTTACTGGCTGCAAGGAGCTTTTCTGTCCAACTTCCAACTTTTATTTTAATTAGATACAACATATAGTTTGGATGGATTAAGTAGGAGAAGCCCAAAAAGCAAATGCGACAAGAAGAATTTACCATGCCTCTAGGGTATTAAATATTGTGGTTAATAAGCAACCATGGAAAACGCTGTTGCCAACGAAAAAGAGGGATAAAGGGCATACAACCCTTGGCAAAATAGTTGAGTTTGTATCGTTGATTTTTGAATGTTGACGCAGAAACCCATGTTGTGAAGGGGATAGTTTTGACTGTCTAGAGCTTAGACTGTGAATTCGATGAAGCTACACTGACCAGACCTGCTGCCAAAACTTATTAGGCAACATTTTTTAAGAGGTAAAATCTTCATAAGTAAAAGTATAAACAATTCAACTGCATACTACACAGCAACTTTCTTGATCATTTGACAGAAACTAATACCTTTTCCACTGTAACTAATCGACCTTCAAGCACAGACCGATCCAAATATTTGATGCAGCGTTCTGCATCCTCAACAGTTTCCATTGTGACAAAGCCAAATCCACGGGATTCTCTGGTGCGAGGGTCTGTAACCAGATGGCAGTCCAGTACCTGAAACAAGAGCTCATATGTGATTCTCTCGGAATAAGATATGTATTAAGGCTCTCAAAACATAATTACTTTCCAAGTTGACATGAAGCTATAGTAAACATGGAGCATGAGCTATTCTATGTGAAGTCTAATAAAGAAAGGACTACACATTTTCTAGGTACAAACATAAAGTTAGAAGCTAGAACGGTTATTTTTATCAATCAATAGTAAGGCTTCACTTGAATATCAGGACTAAAGTGTAAATGGAAGGGAAGCCATTAAATTGCCACAGATGTCACCCTCTTCTTTAGAAGATAGAACTCAAAATTATTGCTTCCTTTCCAGGGAGATCCAAGCATAATAGGCTAGTAAGGGAAACAAGGTACCTATCCAGTGATGGGTAGTTAGCCTAACTTGTATCTAAAGTACTTGTTATAACAATCTCCCAAGTTGGCTCTTTCTTTCCTTGTAATTTATTGTGCTTTGCAACTTGTTATAACAATCTCCCAAGTTGGCTCTTTCTTTCCTTGTAAGATATTTGTGCTTTGCAGTCATTAGAACTGCAAAGCACAATAAATTACATCGATATGAAGTTGTCCCAGGGTAAGTTGTATCTGTATAAGTTATCATTCTCATATCAGGTGTTCCCTATATGATTTAAAAACTAGATGTGCAATAACTCGTACCTTCCCCTGTTTATTAAAAAATTTCTCAAGATCAGTAGAGGTAACCCTTGTGGATAAGCCTGTTATGTACAAGTTGTTTCCAGGATTGGATGCATCGACAGATTCATGGCTCCTGCAGCAAGAAAAACCATTCTTCAACTCAACTGAACAAAGCATGAACCCAGTATTTAGGTTTGAATAAAACCGAATCCATTAAACCAAAACAGGTTAAATATAGGGAATTTGAGATTTGCAGTATACCTAGAACGACTTCTCCTAGACCTCGACGATGATCTCAACCGGCGGCCTCTGACGGGTGAAGGAGAGTTGTGTGGCGAAGCGGACCTAAGTGAATAATCACCAAAATCAATTGAGAAATTGTGGGACTACTATCATTGATTCGTTATTAAGTGAACAAACTTGCAATTCCAAATAGAACTTAGAACGGATTCTGACCTTCTTTCTCTTGGGTATGGCATCTACGAGTAGACACAGAAAAACAAGCATACAACATTAGATACCCTTCAAAAATATTAAACATTCAGTATAATGTATCAATACGTGTGTACATTCATACATGCATACAACCAAATACGGGCCTCCAACCATATATTCATTTCAGATTCTAATATGCCACGAATAATATACGTGTATGAAGTTGGTTTCAGATTCATAGATTAGTCAAATAAACAGCTTCATTAACTTATGATTATCATTACCTTTACTTTCTAGGAGGTGACTAAAACCCAAATATACATAATTCAGCTATAAAAGTTAAAATTAAACTCAATGGAAGGCATAATTAAGTTCACAAACACATATTAGACAACAAAAAAAACTAGAAATCTCATAGTTTCCTGCATTTTCTCTGGACGTTTTCTTTTGCTGTTAAATCAAACAGAATAATTCGAAATATTCGAACAATATATGAACGTCTACTTAAGTAATTCGAATTAAATCAATCAAAATACCAAGAAACTCTCGAAAAATTGATCGGGCAAAAGGCATTAAAGAGGTTGAAAGCTCTAGATGGAAATTAGGGGAAAAGATTGGAAGCAGATTTACCTCTGGCTGTGGCCGGTGGAATTGCTGAGTCAACTCGGATGCCCTAACTCGGCGAGAGGAAAACTGCCTCAGACCCGAAAGGGGAGAAAACGTATAAACAAATGCAATTTGGTCGATGCTGTCTCAGTTCCCACGTGCAAGTAGAAGAATCTCCAGCATTCACTTTCATGTTTTCTTCTTTTCTTTTACCCTTACTTTCCACCTAAAAGTTTACTATTTAATTTTAAGAGAAATGGGAAGGAGAATCGCTTAAAGCGGACCTATGGCATAATATTTTATTATCGTAGCACAGGAATTATGTCAAAAATATGATATGACCGAGAGTGTATAGAGGGTTTCATTTTGAGAGTCTTCTTAGCATTTTTCTAATTTTAATTTCTAAACCTTTATGTTAAATCTGATCTTATATCGTATACAATGGTAGAACCTACATTTATTAAAAAGTTTTGTAATGTGATCAGTTTTAAACATTTAGATATTAATTATATCCTATACAATAGTAGGACCTACATTTATGTTAAATGTGATTTTATATCGTATACAATGATAAGACCTACATTTATTAAAAAGTTTCATAATGCGATCAATTTTAAACGTCTAGATATTAATTATGACGTTGGACAACCACAAAATCAATACCTTTTAAAACATTTGTATTCGCATATTTGCCCCGAGAATGTGTAAATAACGGCAGCGTTTTCATTTTCCTTTTTTGTCTGCATCTGGTCATTCCTCAAACTCAAATTAGGGCGTATGAAGCTTATGGGAAGAAAATTGAAGATAATACAGCTTGATTAACAAGGAAACTTTTGGGCTCAACCAATTTTTATGTTTTAAACTTTGAAGTGTTCCATCAAATCAACCCAGCGGATAGAATATTAATGGAAATATGGTATTGGTTGATGATAAATTATACAGAAACTGAAAATCCAGGTTTCTATAGCGATAATTCTAGGCGTGCTTGCCACAAACTGCACCGGCATGGGTGATTTTCAACCGTTGATGTAAATAGAGTCCTGTAACAACGATTCAAAGTCATCCATGAACGGGGCAATTGTTAACAAGGAATGGTAAATACATTCTAAACGCAAATGCAAATTGAACCATCAAACTTACGGTGAAGAATATAACAATTAGACAGCGAGTTCAAAACCGGTGTATTGAAACATATAAAACCCTCAAAAGTTCGAACAATGTAAGGTCAATTCAAGTGGCAATGAAGCATAAGTACAAAAAATGGCAGAAAGATCAAAAAAAAGAAGAAAAACTCGATAGCCACTGCTGAGTTTACAAATACTAACACAAAAAATATAAGAGAAACATATAAACAGAATCAATCCTTGAGGAGAGTCTCCATGGCTTCAAAGAAAAGAGGTGCCGTCTCCGGGCTTGGAGTCTTGATCGCAATCTTGACCCCGGGATTGTTCACGACTGTGGTGAGTTCAATCAAGAAAGGTATTCCTCGAGGGATTTTTGCAGAGAAATAGAACACGTCCTGGTTGGCATGTTTGCGCTTTGCAATAAAGAACATGTTTGTAGCAGCCAGGCGGTCCACAGTCGCTTCAACATTTCTCAACACAATTCCAGGGAAGTCCTTTGTAATCTCATTTGTATCCGGAAGAGACCTCCACGTCTGCAATGGGCATAAGCATCAGTGTTTTTAAATGCTACAATTTTTTAACTGGCAGTAAATGATCAGAAATTTTGTATTAGTAAGCTCCAGACTACACTGCTTTCCGGTATTTTTACCCCCATTACTTCTGTACCAGAACTTATGTATTAAAATATTCCAAATTTTAATTTCAAATCCACATTTTGACCCACTTCACCTTCATTCTATCCTATAGCCCCCTTCTCTCTAACAAAAAGGAAATATAGCAACGAGCCACGTGGCCACGGCATTGCTGTAGTAATGGCCCTAACGGAATGCTAGATGTCCATTGTTGTGGTACTCTATACCTCCCAACCTAGCCCTTTCCAGGTCTAACTGAACTACACCATTGTTTAAATATACTGGAATAATATAGTCAATAAACTTCAAAAAGGCAACATAAATTTTCGGCTTGATGTGGGGTCTTATATCTAGTAGGACGTGTCGTGAAGTTCAAACATTGAAAACACAAATGACCCAACACTAAAACTTAAAAGAAAACAGAAGGTGCATGGTGATTTTACCTCAAGAAAATTTGCACGCTCCATTCTTCCATCATCAGTAAAGAAGACATGCAATGATATTTTATCATTAAAGTACCAGACTGGTTGTTGACTGTTTTTCACAGCAACCTGCAATAGTGAGCTTGGAGGACCTTGAGACATATTCTGGAACGTAACCATAGGCAAGAGAGTCCCGGCAGATGTCCCAGGTTGCAATTGTGGAACCTAATGGGGATCAAGGTATTTGTGTTATAAATTTTTGTTTGGGAAGAAATCTCACTCAATTTACATGTTTAATAACTACCTGAAGGGGTCCAGCCGCTGCAAGCCCAAATGTATTTTTGTTGAACTGAATCATGAACCCATCCAGCGGAACCTGTGTGTTGTTCTCGAACAATAAACTGTAAAATATTTGCCCTTCCCTACGTGTCAACTGAGCACTGATTTGTAAACCTTGACCAGTAGATGCTGGTAGCACAACAGGCAACGGAGGTCTGCAATCAAGGCCAGAAAATTCAATAAGTTCTTTTGATACTTTACACTGACATTGAACGATGACTATTTGCAGCATCTAAATTAAACACTGGATTCATTTTATCAAACAGTTCAAATTAAAGGTTTTTTTTTTTTTTTTTGGGCAATAGCTTGTATGTAATTTTATTTAAAGACTAATGCTCACACAAAATGGAAACCAAATCACCCACAGCCAGCAGGATCAGTCCACTCCACATGACAAAGTATCCACCACACAAATAAGACCACTATGCAACTTCCACTATACTTACCCAGCAGGAGAAGCAGGCTGATCCACAGGGACAATAGCACTATTTTCCAGGCCGATCAGGTCACCAAGTAAATCTGGCACTGGAGCAGGTGCAGGTGCAGGTGCAGGCGAAACTGGTGCAGGTTGTCTAGATGCAGCATATGGAACACCTGAACTAGAGCCGGTTGGGGATGCAGAACTATCAGCAACATGAGCAGGTGATTCAGAATTTCCTGTTTCACTACCATAGTCCTCATCTTCAGTTCTTTGGGCTGTGGTCTTCACACGGGTAACAAATGCTTCTGGAGGCTTGTGATACACAGAGGATAACGTAGCAATGTTAGCAAGAAGCTCATCAAGAAGAGATGGATCAATCAGGTTTGAATCATCACTGATCACTGGCTTCTCAGCTAACACCACATCCTTGGCTGCCTGTGAGATAAGAAGCATTCCCATGAGCTCAATACTATAACCATATAAGGATATGCTATTCTAAATTGTCAAACTATGGTTTTGCAAAGGGTTCACTGCATGCCATTGTACTGGAATGGCATACACATGAGCACAATAATGGCAACCAGTAGCAATCTTCATCTAAAATAGATTTCAAACCCCAACCTGTCCCCCCAAAGAAAACAAAAGTGGAAAAATAGATTTGTGGTTGTACATGTAAAAGAAAAGGGGCATGCATTAACTATTGGATTGACAGGGAAACAAAATATTATATATCAACTAAGGGGCAGAGAGGGAAAAAAAAGATTGGTTGTTATATTGAGAAAGAAATGGAAAATCATTTTGGCCAAACCCACCTCTGGGTCAGTTGATAGAAGACGCCAATATATGTAGGCCCGATCTCGCAAATCAGGATTGTCTGTTTCCACAGTAGCATTATTTAAAACAACCTGCAAATATGGATCTACACAGTGAGAATTTTACTTGGATAATATCTAGAAAATACAACTATGGCCCAAGTATGCAAGGAAATACTTTAAAATTGAATAAACATATAAACCTTAGACATTCGCATTCATAGTAAAAAAGAGTGTCACCTCTTAGGTACTACATTATATTAGAACAACGAAATCAGAACAATGGCTGCTTTAATGATGGTATTCCGCATTCCAATATGTCATTTATGGTAAAAGAAGGAGAACAGAAGCTAGAGAGGATAACTATGCATGAATAATACAAAAGCAGAACCTGTATCATCTGCTGTGGTCCTTCAGTTGGCTTCTTAAGAAAGAGTTTAACAGTTGCTGTCAGCAATTGCAATTGGACATGTGCAGGCTCTTCAGGGAAACTTTCCAGAAAACTTTCAAGTAGCTCATCAGCATTGTCAATTCGTTCCGCATATTCACCAATTATCCAGATCATGGATGCCTTTTGGGGAAGAAAAAGTGAGAAAGAACATGAGCATGGAAACATGAAGTACAAATCAGAAGGCCTAAGCAGTGATATATTTAATAGCAAAGCAAAAAGAAAAAACATAGATCTTAAGCTAGGGATACTTGAGTACCTTGGCTTCTGGTTCATCTAAAGTGTCAAGGCTTTCGCACAGAGTTGCAATAATGGACTCGTAGCTGTAATCAAGATAGCAATCCATTACAAAGTTTGTAAGGGAAGATCCCTTTTTTTTTTTTTGAAAGGATGTAAGGGAAGATTCCTTCATCATCAAAATTCAAAATTAAAAAAATGAAAGCCCATAACTTACGTATTTGGATATCTTCTAAATATATCTTTGATGACAATAATGGCCTCTTGAACTACATAATTTACTTTGATCTTAATAAGCTCCAGTAAAACAGTAATGCACCGCTCAGCTGCTCTTTCTAATTTGATGGCACAGCGACCAATGGCACGGACAGCTTTTCGGACAAAATCCACATCTACTTCGGTAGCATACTCTTTAAACTCCAACAAAACCTGCAGAAATGTTGGAGCAAGCATGATTTTAACTCCACTTTGAGAGGTGACAACTTTCAACCATTAAAGTCTAATATGAAAAAGTAACTCCTGGCAAGATTTACATACCTGGTCTATATTTCGGTCTGAAGCAAGCTTTATCATGATTTCTAACTTTTCCATCTTTACATAAATTGGATCATTGTACTTGCAGAAGAACACCTATAAAAGAATCGAGCGTTATGGGAGCTTGCCTTGCTTACGATTCAGCTACATAGTTGATAACAAGTATCAACTCCTTGTTAAAGTGCATCAAACAACAAGACTCTACACT